TTTTGCTAAAACAAAAATGGTTATTAACAATGAGGGAGGGGGCCTGATATTTTAAGCATACCTGAATTTTTGCTAAAAAAAAAAGACTATTATTGATGAGGGAGGAGGTCTAATATTTTAGGCAGATCTTGCATTTAATTTTTTTTTGTATTTTTTTTTTTTTCCTAAACAAATAGCCAATAATGACGACGGAGGGGACCTGATGTTTTGCGCCAACCTTAAATTTTATTTTTTTGTTTGTTTTTTTAAGCTAAAAATGGCCATTAATGATGAGGAAGGGGGCCTGATATTTTAAGCAAACCTTGAATTTTAATTTTTTTTTCTAAAAAAAAAAAAAAAATGGCCATTGATGAGGGAGAGGGATTTTTTTGTTTTTTTTTTTTTTTTTTTGCTAAAAAAAATAGTTAATAATGATGAGGGAGGGAGCCCTGATATTTTAAGCATACCTTGATTTTTTTTTTTTCTTTTTTTCCCTAAAAAAAAAAAGATTATTATTGATGATGGAGGAGGTCTGATATTTTAGGCAGATCTTGAATTTAATTTTGTTTTTCTAAAAAAAAAAAAAAAAAAAATGGCCATGGATGAGCCTGATATTTTTAGCAGACCTTGTTTTTTTTTCTTTCGCTAAAACAAAAATGGTTATTAATGATGAGGGAGGAGGCCTAATATTTTAAGCATACCTTGAATTTTTGCTAGAAAAAAAAAAGACTATTATTGATGATGGAGGAGGTCTAATATTTTAGGCAGATCTTGCATTTAATTTTTTTTTGTATTTTTTTTTCCTAAACAAATGGCCAATAATGACGACGGAGGGGACCTGATGTTTTGTGCCAACCTTACATTTTATTTTTTTGTTTGTTTTTTAAGCCAAAAATGGCCATTAATGATGAGGAAGGGGGCCTGATATTTTAAGCAGACCTTGAATTTAAATTTTTTTTTTCTAAAAAAAAAAAAATGGCCATTGATGAGGGAGAGGGCTTTTTTTGTTTTTTTTTGTTTTTTTGCTAAAAAAAATAGTTAATAATGATGAGGGAGGGAGCCCTGATATTTTAAGCATACCTTGATTTTTTTTTTTTTCTTTTTTTTCCCTAAAAAAAAAAAGATTATTATTGATGATGGAGGAGGTCTGATATTTTAGGCAGATCTTGAATTTAATTTTGTTTTTCTAAAAAAAAAAAAAAAAAAAATGGCCATGGATGAGCCTGATATTTTTAGCAGACCTTGTTTTTTTTTTTTCTTTCGCTAAAACAAAAATGGTTATTAATGATGAGGGAGGAGGCCTAATATTTTAAGCATACCTTGAATTTTTGCTAGAAAAAAAAAAAGACTATTATTGATGATGGAGGAGGTCTAATATTTTAGGCAGATCTTGCATTTAATTTTTTTTTGTATTTTTTTTTCCTAAACAAATGGCCAATAATGACGAGGGAGGGGACCTGATGTTTTGTGCCAACCTTACATTTTATTTTTTTGTTTGTTTTTTAAGCCAAAAATGGCCATTAATGATGAGGAAGGGGGCCTGATATTTTAAGCAGACCTTGAATTTAAATTTTTTTTTTCTAAAAAAAAAAAATGGCCATTGATGAGGGAGAGGGCTTTTTTTTTTTTTTTTTTTTTTGTTTTTTTTGCTAAAAAAAATAGTTAATAATGATGAGGGAGGGAGCCCTGATATTTTAAGCATACCTTGATTTTTTTTTTTCTTTTTTTCCCTAAAAAAAAAAGATTATTATTGATGATGGAGGAGGTCTGATATTTTAGGCAGATCTTGAATTTAATTTTGTTTTTCTAAAAAAAAAAAAAAAAAATGGCCATGGATGAGCCTGATATTTTTAGCAGACCTTGTTTTTTTTTTCTTTCGCTAAAACAAAAATGGTTATTAATGATGAGGGAGGAGGCCTAATATTTTAAGCATACCTTGAATTTTTGCTAGAAAAAAAAAAAGACTATTATTGATGATGGAGGAGGTCTAATATTTTAGGCAGATCTTGCATTTAATTTTTTTTTTTTTGTATTTTTTTTTTCCTAAACAAATGGCCAATAATGACGACGGAGGGGACCTGATGTTTTGTGCCAACCTTACATTTTATTTTTTTGTTTGTTTTTTAAGCCAAAAATGGCCATTAATGATGAGGAAGGGGGCCTGATATTTTAAGCAGACCTTGAATTTAAATTTTTTTTTTCTAAAAAAAAAAAATGGCCATTGATGAGGGAGAGGGCTTTTTTTGTTTTTTTTTTTTTTTTTTGCTAAAAAAAATAGTTAATAATGATGAGGGAGGGAGCCCTGATATTTTAAGCATACCTTGATTTTTTTTTTCTTTTTTTTCCCTAAAAAAAAAAGATTATTATTGATGATGGAGGAGGTCTGATATTTTAGGCAGATCTTGAATTTAATTTTGTTTTTCTAAAAAAAAAAAAAAAAAAAAATGGCCATGGATGAGCCTGATATTTTTAGCAGACCTTGTTTTTTTTTCTTTCGCTAAAACAAAAATGGTTATTAATGATGAGGGAGGAGGCCTAATATTTTAAGCATACCTTGAATTTTTGCTAAGAAAAAAAAAAAGACTATTATTGATGATGGAGGAGGTCTAATATTTTAGGCAGATCTTGCATTTAATTTTTTTTTGTATTTTTTTTTTTTTCCTAAACAAATGGCCAATAATGACGAGGGAGGGGACCTGATGTTTTGTGCCAACCTTACATTTTATTTTTTTGTTTGTTTTTTAAGCCAAAAATGGCCATTAATGATGAGGAAGGGGGCCTGATATTTTAAGCAGACCTTGAATTTAAATTTTTTTTTTCTAAAAAAAAAAAAAATGGCCATTGATGAGGGAGAGGGCTTTTTTTTTTTTTTTTTTTTTTTTTTTTTGCTAAAAAAAATAGTTAATAATGATGAGGGAGGGAGCCCTGATATTTTAAGCATACCTTGATTTTTTTTTTCTTTTTTTCCCTAAAAAAAAAAGATTATTATTGATGATGGAGGAGGTCTGATATTTTAGGCAGATCTTGAATTTAATTTTGTTTTTCTAAAAAAAAAAAAAAAAAAAATGGCCATGGATGAGCCTGATATTTTTAGCAGACCTTGTTTTTTTTTCTTTCGCTAAAACAAAAATGGTTATTAATGATGAGGGAGGAGGCCTAATATTTTAAGCATACCTTGAATTTTTGCTAGAAAAAAAAAAAGACTATTATTGATGATGGAGGAGGTCTAATATTTTAGGCAGATCTTGCATTTAATTTTTTTTTGTATTTTTTTTTCCTAAACAAATGGCCAATAATGACGAGGGAGGGGACCTGATGTTTTGTGCCAACCTTACATTTTATTTTTTTTGTTTGTTTTTTAAGCCAAAAATGGCCATTAATGATGAGGAAGGGGGCCTGATATTTTAAGCAGACCTTGAATTTAAATTTTTTTTTTCTAAAAAAAAAAAAATGGCCATTGATGAGGGAGAGGGCTTTTTTTTTTTTTTTTTTTTTTTTTTTTTGCTAAAAAAAATAGTTAATAATGATGAGGGAGGGAGCCCTGATATTTTAAGCATACCTTGATTTTTTTTTTCTTTTTTTCCCTAAAAAAAAAAGATTATTATTGATGATGGAGGAGGTCTGATATTTTAGGCAGATCTTGAATTTAATTTTGTTTTTCTAAAAAAAAAAAAAAAAATGGCCATGGATGAGCCTGATATTTTTAGCAGACCTTGTTTTTTTTTCTTTCGCTAAAACAAAAATGGTTATTAATGATGAGGGAGGAGGCCTAATATTTTAAGCATACCTTGAATTTTTGCTAGAAAAAAAAAAAAGACTATTATTGATGATGGAGGAGGTCTAATATTTTAGGCAGATCTTGCATTTAATTTTTTTTTTTGTATTTTTTTTTCCTAAACAAATGGCCAATAATGACGACGGAGGGGACCTGATGTTTTGCGCCAACCTTAAATTTTATTTTTTTGTTTGTTTTTTTAAGCTAAAAATGGCCATTAATGATGAGGAAGGGGGCCTGATATTTTAAGCAGACCTTGAATTTTAATTTTCTTTTTCTAAAAAAAAAAATGGCCATTGATGAGGGTTTTTGTTTTTTTTGTTTTTTTTGCTAAAACAATAGTTATTAATGATGAGGGAGGGAGCCCTGATATTTTGGCCATTGATGAGGGCTTTTTTTTTTTTTTTTTTGCTAAAAAAAAATAGTTGTTAATGATGAGGGAGGGAGCCCTTGATATTTTAAGCATACCTTAAATTTTTTATTTTTTTTTGCTAAAAAAAAAAAAAAAAAAAAAAAAAAAAGACTATTATTGATGATAGAGAAGGTCTGATATATTAGGCATTTAATTTTTTTTTTTGAGGGAGGGGACCTGATATTTTACGCCGACCTTACATTTTATTTATTTGTTTTTTTAATCGTGGAATTAGTCAAAGCACTCACACAGCTTAATACTTATGACTCAAGTTGAATACAATTGTTTCTGTTTTTATTAAATAGCTATTACTTTTAAACAAAACAAAACAAAAAAAAAACATCATAACAAATATCCGCAAAACATAAAATAC